AAGTCAAGGTCAAACTCTGGAAAGTGTTGGTTTGTTCCTGCCTAGGTCAGTATTCTCTCATGGTCAGCTCTATGTAGCACTTTCAAGAGTTAAGTCGAGATCGGGATTAAAAATCCTAATAACCGGCAAAGAATCGAAGCAGCAGACCAAAACATTGAATGTTGTCTACAAACAAGTTTTCCAAAATATTCCATAGTCAGGGTACGTGATTTTAATATACTTTTTCAAATAATTTCCGTTTTCATATATAAACTTTTATATTATTTTTTGATAAGGTATTGGAAGATGGGTACTGATGAGGTAGAAGAGAGATTTTATTTGATTACCATCCATCATTTTGCCTATTTCTATGACGGTATGAAATTTAATATTATTTACAGATACAATAAATTCAGAAATTATTTTATATCTATCACAGAAATTTATCCGGTCTTAGGGCTTACAAACTAAAATTTTTATTTGCAGGTGTCTAATGGATTTTGTACACCTTTATCGAGATTTTGTAGTTCATAAATTTAGATTATTTATGGATAATAATTTTAGTTTATATTTTCGGAGCTTATTTTGAAAATTATTATATTTTCTTTTAATATGCGTACAAAAATAAGGTTGAAAATTAAATATAATACTATTATTCACTTAAAAATAAAAAACACAACACATATATAATATAATTCTAATTACACAGGATAATATACAATCTGTTACTTCGAAAACTGTCAATTCTTTGCATAAGAAGTCGTAGCAAATCCATTAGATGACGAATGAAAATATTTTCGTAAACCACACTAATTATTTTGAGACTTTGCAATTATACATACACACAATAACTGCTCGCACCATGTACGTTATTTTATACCCTCTCATACAATGTCAAATATTGAGTACCGACTTTTCTCCATGGTGTAGGGTTTCTCCAAAACACGGTGTAGTCTGCTACTCCTAAACCGATACACTATTATAATAAATTTTTGAACATTTTTTTGCCCGCACAGGATGCGGGCCGGTCACCTAGTAACAAGTAAACTGTTAAAAAGAAGTCTAAGTAGAGAGAAGGAGACAAAGTGGGGAATCTAGATCTTATAAAAAGAATATGCTTTGTGGATAAAAACTGCTTAGAACAAAATTTAGTTAAATTAGAGCCACAATCTATACTATTAAAGCAGAATCCCTCCTAGGATTCTGCCCATAGTTTTTGAATTATTTACAAAGATATGTCACTAGCATTTAATTTTAATATAATTATTATTTATTTAAACTAAATAACTAACTCGCTCCTATATTTATGGTAATTAATAATTTTCTGATTTTGTGTTTAATAATAATTTATTTTTATGCAATTTCTACTTTCTTTTAATTTTAATATCTTATTTTCATGTATAATATCATTTAGCGATCAAAAATTAAATATTATTATTTACTATGTCATAATATGGATATACCAATTCAATTTTTTTTTAAATAAATTACCTTTTTGATATTTAATAAATAAAAATGTAAAGTAATCATAGGTTATTAATAATGAAAAACAGATATTTTTATATAAATATTTTTCTTCTATTACCATTGTTTCATTTTTTCAAATAAAAGTAAATTCATTAAATTCTAAGAAATTACAAAAAATAAATTTTCTTTAATTTTAAAAGTATGTGTTATTTACTATTTTTTTAAAAAAAATGTTATCAGTTTTTATGGGACTTTTAGAAGATCTATAAATATTATATTTCGGATTAATAGAGGGTTTTTGCATATTTACCAGTTTTATCAAAATTTTAATTAATAAAATTTCATTAAATCTTACTAGACTATACAAAAATTGTTGGATATACCGGTTCAACTATGGTCTAAATCAGATATGAAAACACACAATACGTGAAAATCAAACAAGATAATAGAACATTTTAATATTAGTAGAACAATTTTTTGTGTTAAAATAAAATTTAATAATGCAAATAAATTTTATCAAAAAATATAATAAACCCGCGCTTTAAAAGCGCGGGTCAAAATCTAGTAATGTAGTTAAAGCAACAAAATCCTAACTTCATCGTAATAGTTGGTTTCAAAAACAAATTAGACTAGGTTAATATGTTTTAAATGATGCAAATTAAGATAAAATAAGGTCAGTTTATTAAATTGACGCTAAAATAAAATACACTTACAAACTTTTAAATTAGAATTAGTATTTATTGATCTATGTTTTATATCAATTTTGTAAGTGATGTTAACTAAAAAAAACTAACGCATCAATTGTGTGATTGATATAAATATATGTAACACTATCAATTATGTTAAAATGATGCAAACTAATAAAAAATATATCACTTAATCGAAATGATGCTAAATAAATAAATAATACATCACTTATTATAGTTGATGCTAAACCATATATATTTGTCTCATTTACGTATAAGTAATTTAAAATAGAATCGTTTAATTTTGTGATACAGTTTAAGTGATTTAATCTAACACATTTTTTGTAGTGAATTTCTTCTGAAAATTCTAAGTTTATACTACAATATGAACAATCAACAAATTATAATAATGAAAGACCATCAACTATCAACATGTTATATATTCTAAATCAAACAAGCATCCACATGAATACATATTTGTGCAACTATTACACTAGAGATGATCTAATGTATTCTCCTATTTTTTTATCTTTAAAATAGAAAAACTCTATAATAGATATGAGTTTTGTTCCAATGTATATCTCTAAATAAAGATTTCCAAATATAGAATAAAATATTTAGAAATGTTATACAATTCTCTATAAATAGAGTCAAATATATCAATTTATATTTTAGAGATAAAAATAGAGAAAAACTGGAGTGATTTTGTCTATAAATGATATTATAGAGACAAAAAAATAGAGTTGGATTGTTGGATTGTAAATGTATTTAATCACATATTTGTGTTTATTAAACAAATACTTGTGCAGATGCACATACAACCTTAGTTTTCATTAAAAGACAAAAGATCATCCTGACACTGCTTTGTAGATATAAAGATATAAATAATTATTTTTTAAAAAAAAAAATTTCTAGTTTGCGAATTATATATTTTTAAATTCGAATGCTTTTATCTCATTTTTGATTTTTTCAAAATTTTATTTTGAAATTCAAAACTATTTTTAAAATTTTTATTTTAAATATCTATTTATTTATTTAAAATCCTAAACCTAAGCTCCAAAACTCTATCCCTCAAATCTATACCCTAAATCTATAATAGTTAACTGTAGGAATATAAATGTATTTTACTCTTTAAAACTAAGAATAAATGTAGTTAAAGTAAACATGAAAAATCTAATAGGAATGTGATAGTTTAAGAAATTTTAAGAAATTAATTGATATATGACTTAGAAACTTATATGGATCAAACAGAAAATATAATTTTTATTCTCCAACTATGTGCAATCAACATATTTAATATATATATATATATATATATAAGTATTCTTCATTTTAAATTATTCTCAAACAAATTATTAATTATTCAAAATTTTACTTAAAATAGTCAACCATTAAAAAGTTGACGAAAATCGTTAATTTTTAATATATGCATTAATAGTTAGCTATCTCATTTTAACTTTAATTTGGGCAGTTAACAGTTTATTCACATAATTTTGCGTATTAATAAATAAACTAGACCTGGACCCGTCCGACCGGACGGGTATTTATTTCATTTTTTATATAAATGAATATTATTTAAATGTCTATCCGTTAATATTTTTAAATATTTATCATATTTCTATTTTTTTTATAAACACAACAATCAAATAGTTTATGTGCTGTAAAAATAGTGATTCGTGTCCATTATTAAACTTTTGAAAAATTAATATTGACCTATTGATAGTTTGAATAATATTTCTTGTAACATGAAATTGTTTGCCAAATGTAAAAAGAATTTAAATATTTTGATCAGATATGAATAATATGGTAAGATTTAGATACGTTATAAAAAAAGAATATTTGGTTATAAACATTAAACATTGTTTTACAAGTAATTCAATATTTCAATTTCAGTATTAAATTTTCTTCTTAAAATAATTAATAGCAACCAAAATGGTAAAACATATATTTTAGAAATTCTTGAAAAATATATAATCTTAGGTGAGATTTAATTATATTAAAATTATATTCAGTTACAAATAGTTCATGTTGTTTATAAGTAGTTTACATATATTTAAAATCTTATTGTTCAAAATAATTAATGCTAAGTTAAACATATATTTTAGGAATATTCATAATATTTTTTAATTTCGAATTTAAACTTGAATTTTGTTCAAAATAATTAATGGTAACGTTATACAAATTTAATATTGTTAAAATCAATTTTAAATATGAATATTCCTAAAAATCAGCTAGTTTATTTTATGGAATATATTAAACACGAAAATTAAGCTAAAATTGATTTAGGAAATTGTTTAATAAATAGGAAAAGACAATGATTACTTACATATAAGTTCATTTAATTATTTCAGTGGCATGCTATTGTAAATAAAAGTGAAAACTAAAGGGTATTTTATATGGGTACTTCTCTTTTAATAATATAGATAATAAATATATCTTTTATATTAAAAAGCTATCCTATTAATCCAATAAGATATTGCCTGAAAGTTTAGATATTAAATGTATCAACTGTAAATAGCTGAGAAACAAAATACTCATTTCCCATCACTTTTTGTTTTGAATTTTCGAATGGCCCTTTCTCATCAGTCATCTTCATTTCTCATATCAGTCTTCACTTCTCATAAGTCATAACTAATACACATAAATATTTTTAAACTAAGGAGGAATTGAGAGAAGTGTCTACAAACTTTCAAAACTAATCTAAAAGCCATGACCATCAAATTTTCAGTTTCCAAATTTTTGGGGGGTCTCCCTGATCTCAATCTCAATGCCTCAAATATTCTCACCGTAAGTATCTACGCTCCACCAAACCGGAAACATCTCTGATACAGTCCCATCACTCATATTAAAAAAAAAAAATCAAACAGATACAGAATCATACAAAACACACTAACCAGTTAATTCAATCTCAATCCGGTTCATACAAACATGTTTGTTTATTTACGTTTTGTATCAACAAACTCGGCTACGAGAACGGCCACAATGGAGAAAGATCTCTGTAGGTTCTAAGCAGCTACGTAGTGAGTCATGACCAAGCTGTGCTCTTTCATTATCTCCAAAACCAAAAATGCGACCACCTTCAGTGACCACAATTGTGTGATACAAACCAGTGCTAACTTGAGAAACACGGTGTGGCTTCAGACTCTCCAACACTCTTGGCCTCAAGACCTTGTCTGAAACTCCTCTGTCCGTGAACCCTAAGCTTCCAAATCCCATCCACCCAAACCCATACAATACTCCACCTTCCACTAACACAAATGTCTTCCTCTTTCTTGCACAGACTTGGACAGCAAGGCAGTTGTTGAGACTGACTAAAACCTGAGGAATGATCTTGTCGTTTTCATCTCCATGACCTAGAGCACCACAGTAACCTTTACCCCATGTGTATACCTAACCGTTTTAAAGAAACAATCAAAACAAAGATTCTTTCTGGTTTCTCAAAAACCAAATGGTTATGGAAACAAAGAGAACTTACACGGCCATTTGAATCAAGTGCCACGGCGTGTTCATCCCCTGCAGAGACACGGAGAATATGAATACCTTTTCTTTTAAAAGCCTGAATAACACGCGGCTGATGCTCGTCCTGCTGCTCTCCATGACCAAGACAGAAGCTAGAACCAGAGCCAAAGGAGTAAACTGAGCCATCCTGCGTCACAGCTAGAACATAGCTTGGTCCAGTTGCAATTTGCACCACAGGGCCAGTGTTTTGAAAAAACTCAACAGCTTTGGGTACTGGACTGTCCAAGGTATCGCCATGACCAAGCTGTCCATGTGTGTTTGATCCACATGTAAACACACTCCCTTCTCTTGATAGAAACACAGTGAAGTGCAGCCCCGCAGCAACCTGGTACAGAAGATGAGCTTGTCACTGTCTCCTTAATTTAGAATTATCATTTGGTTTTAGATAGAGTTGGTATCAGTTTTACCTGCTTACAAGGAGTTCCCTTCAAGGCCTTAACAAGCTTAGGCCTAAATATTGGACGGCTAATATCTAAGTGACCACAGCAATGTGATGAATTATCCCCACATGTAAGAACCTATTCCAAAATTCAAACAGATAAGTGAGTATGGCCAGCAAAAAATCTACTTTATGGAAACAGAAGCTACCAACCAACCTCTCCAGATTGCAATACGAAAGCAGAATGGTTCTGTGTGGCAGAGACCTGAGCAACTTTAGCAGAGAACGGGAACTCTATAGGAGTAAATGCTACACATTGAGTAGTTTCTGGACCATGAGCAAGAACACCAGACAAACTAGAACCACAAGAGTAAACCTTTGAGTTGTTGATTAGCAATGTGTGATACCTTCCCGTTGTAACTTGCTTCTGCATAAACAAAATGCATTTGAGACTTCTAAAACCAAATCAATCCTAGAGTTCCCTATACCAGAAACAGTAACAGCTACACTCCTCTCCTAAACTCCTTACTACTATGTTCTTCATAGCATTCTCTACCTAAGACCACTTACTAAATGAAAAATTCACCTATTGAAAAGCAAATAGGGAAATAAAATGAAACCATACATTGCCTGCAGAGGTTTGAACCATATCTGAAGACATCTCAACAGACTGCAAGAACCTCAAAACCCTCTTCCAGTTCCCCTCACAATTAGCAAAGAGCTCCTTCTGTGTAGCTAAACCCATTCCCATGTACACAGGATGCACAGAGCAAAGCTGAGACGCGGCGTAATCAGCTAGTGATCTGAACTTCAAAGGGTACAACACTCCAGAGCTTCCTCCAAACACCTTAGAGGTTAATTCAAGGTTAAGTAGATCAACAGCGTTGAGCCGGCCAGAGGTTAACACCTCCAAGATCAAATGAGAAGGAAGATCCTCTAACCAGTTCCTCTCAGCCATTTTTGCTAAGAACAGAGTTTTCAAACGAGGTAATGGGAATGTAAAGGATGGTACTTTGTGTTGGCTTTGGAGTTACAAAGAGGGTGAAAGGTTTAGACTTTAAGAGTCAGATTTTGAGGCGAAATGTAATCTTCGTGATTCACCTGAACCCAAAAACAGAGAAACACGCAAACAATAAACCAAACAAATAAAGGAAGAAACTTTCGATCGAATACAAAACAATCAGAAGAAACAGAGCGTTGAGTAATGTTGAATGCGTGACAGCTAACCTGGAAAGCAAAAGCTCTTGACTTTATAGGTGACGATACTTAGCCACTTATGAAACCAAAAAAGTCTAAAACAGAGTTCTTTTTTTTTTATATAAGAAAATGGTGGAAGACGTGTGAAGAGGAATATTTAAAAAAAAAAGGATTAGGAGGAAATCAATATCTTGCTTCTTAAGCTTTCTTTTTCTTTTGTGGCGATTCTTCCTCTCTGTCATAGAACTAGTTCGCTGAATATTTTGAGAGGCTTTACTTGGTCGTCGTCTTGACATTGTTTTGTCTATCAAAAATTATTTTAATCTTTTTGCCACCAATTTTTTTATTAGTTAATTATAAAGTTTCAAAGATTATGTTTATTAAATTAATATTAACTTAAATTTATTTAAAAATGTTGATCATAGTAAATGATACATTTATAATTCAAAAAAATTAATGTATAAAAACCACAAAAAATAGAAAGAAAATATATATCTATATATCAATATATATTATACTATAGTATTCTATAATTGTATTATTATTTTATTTTAACCATTTTTAATAATCATATGCTCAGTTCATCCTTCTATTAAACCCACCATCATAATCACTCTTTATTTTATTTTTTAAAGAAAACTACACACTATAATACAAGCTTGGGCCTATTAAAACTCATTGTCAAAGATACATCCATGAAAATGCAAAATACAGTTTTCCAGTTTCCTGGTTCTTTACATAATATACTAATTCTTAGCCACATTTCACTTATTCAGAACTATATTTGGGTAAAGTTGGATTATTAAACTTAACGTGAAGCTTTTACCAAACCAAAATATACTGTTAACTCTCATTGTCACTGATCTTGTTAGACTTTGTGTGTGTTTCACGGACACAGAGTTTATTCATGCATCTCATTTGACATGGGTGCAAGAGCTTCAGTCATGGTTCCTTTATCTAACATGTGTTTGTCTTGTCCTCTAACGTAAGGAGGACAATGTGGACAGTTTGGTTGTTGATATATTGGTTTAGGGTAGTTTGGCACGCTTGGGGTGCACCCACCGGTTTGGCATCCACCAGAACCATAACCAGGAACCGTCATTCCTGGAATCACAAAACCGGGAATATGGGTGCCCGGTACAGTTATGGGAGGGATTGTTGTGCCTGGTACATTTATTGGAGGGACAACTACACTAGGTACACCACCAGACCCACTTCCTCCTATACCAATACCTATCCCTTCCCCTGAACCACTACCTCTTCCAATGCCTTCACCGAATCCACTACCTTGGCCTCCATTGACAGGACCACAGTTAGGTTGGCCATAACCGGATCCTCTTCCTTCTCCAATGCCAACACCTGAACCACCACCATAGCCAATCCCTTCTCCAAAGCCACTGCCCCCACTAGAACCAATCCCTTCTCCAAAACCACTACCTCCACTGCCATAACCAATGCCATAGCCAAATCCCATAGGATTCTCTATGTCATCAATCTTCTCTTTGTCACCATCATTAAGCTTCTCTTTGTAAGTAGGCTTTACTATATGATCAGGCTTCTCTATGTCATCAATCTTCTCTTTGCCACCATCATTAAGCTTCTCTTTGTAAGTAGGCTTTACTATATGATCAGGCTTCTCTATGTTATCAATCTTCTCTTTGCCACCATCATTAAGCTTCTCTTTGTAATTAGGCTTTACTATATGATCAGGCTTCTCTATGTCATCAATTTTCTCTTTGTCACCATCATTAAGCTTTTCTTTGTAATCAGGCTCCTCAGGCTCTTCTGGTTCACCCCACATGGACTCAGGCTTGACTTTGTGCTCAGGTTCCACATCGCTGAAACTAACCTTCCCAGGCTTCACTACATGGTCTAGATCCTTAAGAATCCTGCGTGCGAAAGTTGAACTGAAGAAGCATAGTAAGAGGACAAATCCAAAGCACTTGCCTTGGTGTCCCTTTCCCATTTTTTTTTATTTTCTAGAAATTAAGTTGATTCTGCTGTACATTTCCGAGTAAAGAACCACCCTCATGGTTTTATAGGATGTGACACTTTTACTTTAAAATAAAACACATCCTCATAAACGCAAAAGGACTCTGCTTAAAATACGCATGAAATAAAGGTGATTCACAAAGTTAGCATGAAGAACAACATTGAAGGGAGCTTTTGTTGATAACACAAATTGTATGTTTCGCAACTTGAAGTTTCCATAAATTTTTATGAGGACGATAAAATTCCATCCACACAAAATCTTTGGAACAAGATGTTATTATATGTCTAAAAGTTGGTAGAATGTTCACCCAAAGCATGTGGCATGTTTTGTGTTTGTCTTTCTACAAACCATGTATAAAACCAAACAAGGTGTGGAGAAAAAAAATTCAAATTTCTAAGAACATTACCGATTACACAGCACCATAGAATCTGCATTGACCATTTCTAAACACCAGTAAAAAACATCAAAAGGGAACAACAGTTTAATGTCTTGTCAATACTACAAAACAAAGAGTGGCTTCTTTTGATAAAGGGTAAAACTATGGAGACTTAATCAACAAATAAATAAAACACAAAGGACCTGAATACAAATACAAAACCTTAAGTCACTCCTCAGTCCTCATGCAACCACCGTGTTACATGTCTCGTTACTTGAACTGAAAAATTTTTTTTAGTCATCATCGCCGGCAAATTCTCCCTTTCTCCGGTAGACTTAACAAAGTTTCGGCCTTTCGATAACCAAACCCGTTTCAGAGTCTCGATTGAATAGCCCTCTCTTCCTCCTTCGTTTTAGGTAAAGTGAACTCTTAACATTCTATTATCGTCTCTAGGCATTGTTGATTTTAGCAAAGGCATTACCTTTTCGTCTATCTCCGCTTGATTATACTTTAAAAATCGTGTTTTTATTTATTTTTTTCCTTAATTTCATCTCTGTGAAAGTATTCTTTTTTTTTCGGACATAGTTACTTTACAACAAGCCCATGTTCTGTCTGCTTTTAGTTCCTAGTCAAAGATTCAAACTTGCTTCTTGAACACTTTTGTTTTGTATTTGTAGAGAGGAGAGAAGATGTCAATGATTGCAAGCTCTTCACACAATGATCAAGATTCAATAAGCTTACAATTGCAAGTGCTTCTCGATGCTTTTGGTTCTCGTTTCTCTCTAGATGACATTACTGCTGCCTACCAAGAAGCTAGCGAGAATGTTGATGTGGCTGGTGAGATTCTCTTTGCCATGACTGAAAAGACTCATCCTCAGTGTGAACAACTCGGAGCAACCTCAAAGACAGGACAAGGAGATGGGAAAGCTAAAGTATTGAAGCCAAAAAGAAGTTCTGTATCTGTTGGCAGTGTTTCAAGTGTTATTGGTAAGGAGTATGTTAGAACAAGACATGTATCTAATGCTCGTCAAGAAGCGACTAAACCAGTGAAGATAGACTCAAAGGATATACCAGAAACTGAGATGTGGTCTTGTGAAGAAAGAAACGAGGCAAACATCATAAGCAGGGCTCCAACTGAGATTGAGGAGTTTATTGTTAAGATGCTTGGAGAAGGATTTCAAGCTAGCCCAGAGTACATTCACCACATTCTTGGTAAAGCATTTGTTTCCTTAATTACACATTCTTTTCGTGTTTATGATCTTAGCTGCTAAATTTTTATCTTTTCCACCACACTTTATCAGGCGTATGCGGCTATGATGTTAAGAAGGTAAGCCAAGTCCCCTTAGCTCAGAGATAAGTAATGTATTTTTGTTTCTTTAATTTGCTTTTGCATCACTCTTTATTTGAGCTACTTTGGAAAGTTGTTTACAGTTATACCCTTGAGCTACTTTGACAATCCTTTTTTTGGTGTTTTAATACTATTTTTCTGACTGAACTTTGAGATAGAGTTGACTAATCATTCCCACTGTCTCCTCTAGTTTTCTTCACTTGATTGTTATTTGGTATCTCTATAGCTCTTGGCATATGGCTCCTGTGAGTGTTTCCGTTGGATCTTTGTGTGTTTAACTTCTTCTTTTGACATCCATCCACTCTATATGCTTAATTATATTGCAGAGTACGGAGAAACTACTTGACCTGTCTGTTACCAAGAAGCATGCTGATGTTGGAATTTCCAATGAACTTGTGAGCTTTTGCTATATGACATTTAGTTTTTGTGGTTGTTATAGAATATGTTTTCTACTAAATCTGACTCTGATTGGTTATTACTTGGTCTATCCTCTTCTTCTTAAAGATGTCAAAAGTTGATTCTCAAAGACAAGGATCTACATCCTGCAGGTACGTTTTTCTATTCAAATCTTTGTACAAAACCCTTCCCTTAGCATTCCTTTTGATCTCTTTCTCTCTGTGATGAAGCAGTGATGGAGCAAGAACATTAACAGGTTCGAAGGAAGGAGGCAAGGACAATTCTGGTCTTGAAAAGGAGGTTTTAGAAGCTTTATTCTCAAGTGCAGAAAGATATGAGGAAGTGCCAAAACTAACTCGGAGATTTGTAGAAAGGAGAGCAAGAGTTGCTGGTCGTCCTGTTATTAAACCTTTAGAAGACCCTTTTCAAGAGAAAGTAGTCACTGTGAAAGAATCTTCACATACATCTAAAGAAGGTAACCATTTCAAGAATCTTTTACATGTGCGTTCTCAAGAATTTGCTAAACTATATGTTTGTCGTTTGATAGATGAAGATGATGAAAATGAATTTAAGGCACATCGTAAAGCAGTGCACGAAAATTTGCATGAGATGAAAGAATATTACGGAGCTGTAAGTCTTTTAGATTATTATAAGGATTCATTTACTGGATACACCGTAAAACATCTTTGTCTTTGGCAGGCTGTAGAAGCATTCTCCAAAGGAGAAACGGAGAGAGCACAGAGACTCGTGGAAAAGGTAGGAAAGCACTTTGTGGTTGAATGTGATCTATGTTGTTCAATAACTATATGATGTCTTACACAATACATAGGGACATTTCTTTGGACAAAAAGCTCGAGAAGCTGATGACAAATCCATAGCAAAGATGCTTGAAGTCAAGTGGGTTTAAACTCTCATTCTTCTACTGTACCTTTTTGCAATATACTATACTTGCAAAAGGTGTTGAGAAATTTCAAAAACCATGGTATAGGGAAGACAATGGTTCCAGTTATAAGGAAGAGGAGGTAGTGATAGTGAATGTGAATGAGCTCGAACCAAAGGAAGCTCTTCGTCTTATCAAACTCCAACTTAAGAACTTCACTGGCATTCCATGTAAGTTTTTCAAAATCCCTCTCACTAAACCTCTTTTCTAGCATAAACGAATCTTATCTGTTTGTATTTTGCTTTTATGATTCAGCTATCAGATACCTCAGAGTCAAATTAGGTGACAACAAAGAAGATTCCAAATGCAAACGAAGGGTAAACTATCTTTACTCAGCTATCTTCATCTATAAAAAGAACTCTGAGTTGATTTGGTTCTCTTTGTTTTCTTAGCATACAGCAATTGCAAAGTTGCTGGATGGAGAATCCATTGCTTGGTCTAAAGAAGATGATGGTCTCGTGATGATGATTTGTATTGATGAGATTGATCCTGAGAAGCTGAGTTTTGCCAAGAAATGAAAACAACAGTGGTTCTAATCCTTTTGCTTCATTCTGATAAAAATTTGGCTGATCACTGTTTCAAACGTTTTGTAACGAAAACAGTGAAGAAGCACTTAGGCAGAAATATAATTTTTTTGGTTTGAGAATCAGAGAATCATCAAAGCCATCTGACATTACAATATGATTATAATGTTTGAGAAACAAAACTTTGAACTCTACAGTAAGGATCTATCCGTGTGTGAGTCTATGTACCTCTTCCTCATAGGTTAACACGATTTATTTATAATACAATAACATGTAAAATTACAACCCATGAAATAATGTTCATGAGAAAAGCAATAACACGATTGAACCAGAGAGAACTGTTCTATGCCAATACTGCATTCGTCATTGCCTAACCCAAGGAGCCACTAAGTCATTGTTCTCTTTTTGAGTTATACTGAACACAATTCTGAAAGAAGTAATCAAGTTCTTATCACAAGTACCTTAAATGAATATTGTTTTCAATTATGTATAATCCAGTAAAGTGTTACCTCTGGCTTATATGATATGTATTATTCATGATTCTAAAAGAGAAAATTGGATAAAATAAGATTAACCAAAACACTAACTAGTTCTAGTCTCAAAAAAATCAGGGTACTGAATTTGATCCTCCAACAGTTATAATTAAGATTGGGCAAAATATCCAAATTCTAATAGCTGAAGTGAATTCAACCCAAAGTGGTATTAAATCCAAATCAAGACTGATTAAATACTCGAATGAGTCCAAAAATTTAATTTCCGAAGAACTAGAACGAATCTAATCTGAACTGAAATATTTTGTATATATCCAAATATACCTGAATCACAATTATAAACTTGATCAATATATAAAATATTTTATATTCTGAAAATATTTAAAATACATAATAATATCCAAAGATACAAAATAGTCATAAATAAATATCTGAAATAGCCAAAAATTCTCAAAACACAATACATATCGGAAATACATACTTGTTTTCTATCTATATATCCAAATTGAATCAATTTCATATTAATTTTAGATATTTAATCTTTCATTTATATATCCTAACTAGCGCCTAAGTACACCTCGCATAAAGCATCATGGAGGGCCGCTTTTTTCATCCCATTTTAATCGACGGTGACCGAGAATCAAACTGGCGTGGTTTCACCGTATTGGACCTAAACCCTCAAGTTAATCACCATTATCCCAACACGCGTTGGTTATATTACATTATTCATTTTATGTTGTATATTATTTTATTGAGAAATTGTCGAAAGTTTATTCTTAAAAAAAATTTTGTCACAGATATAGATCTTAAAAATAAAAAAGACCAAAATAGACTTAAATTTTTTATCAGAAATAAGTAAATATACACTTATACCATTTGGGTTAACTAATCCTAGATTTTTTATTTAAAGTTGAGAAGTGTTGTTTTGGAGATATGATTTCAAATAGGTCTAGACATTCAGATATTCGGTTCGGTTCCGGATAAGAACCATTCGGTTCCGGATATATCGGATAAATCATTCTTATACCCAATAGGTACTTATGAGATTTAGTTTTGGTTTCGGTTCGGTTCCAATTTGATTTCGGTTCGGTTATGGATACCCGTTTTATATAAAATCAAATATAATGTGGTCTGGTGGTAAAAATGTACTTACTCTTTGTATCCAACATGAGCTCAAATGGATCTGATGTCATTTTATCTTATATTAAAATTTTTAACTTGTTTTTTTGGATATTCGAGTACCCGTTCGGTTCTCGGTTCGGTTCCGATTCGGTTTTTCGGGTATAGAAATATATGAACCATTCGGATATTTAAGAATTTCGGTCCGATTTCGGTTTCGGGTATTTCGGTTTGGTTCCGGTTTCAGTTTTTCGGTTTCGGTTTTTTTGCCCAGGGCTAATTTCAAGTTAAAAAAAAACTTAAATTTACAAAATATAAAAAATGATATTTTGGTCATTTTAGTTTTTGAGATCTATTTTGTGATAAAAACTTAAAAATATCTATTTGCAAGAACTACCCTATTTTATTTTATGATTTTTTTAATTTTAGAATATATATATTTTTTTTTCTAAATAATTTAATTGTGTACCCGAACGAAACTTTAGTCTCATGCCATGCATAACAAATATAAAAGACCGACTATTTAAACTCTGTTTCTTTCACTCAGACCTCTTCCCCGAGAGAAAGAAAAAGAATAATTCTCAAGAAAACAAATAGTTTCTCGAAATGGCCACCTCCACCAATCTTTCTTCATCAAGTACACTTGCATCTTCCACTCCTATTCAAGAACTGGTCGTGAAAGGTTGTAGATTCTCTATTTTGGAGAGATCACTCCGGGGAAAGGTAACGGTATGGCTTGTTCTTCATATGTTATACCATGCAAAGCTTAAAGAACATGGATATGAAGCTTTTGTGTGTCTATTGAGGTGTCTTCTCAGTAAGCTTCTTGGCACTGTGAAGCTTCTTGCACTGTGTTTTTGTATCGGGTTGATTAAAAGACATGTCAAAGAAGCTGATGCTGAAGAGGGAAGAAAGGAGGAAGAAAGTGGAGAGATTCAAGAGGTTGGGCACCACGTAACAATAGATGTTCAAGAAAATCAAGAAACACCAAGCTTTGAAGAAATTACAGAGAATGTAGAGGTTAAGGAGGAAGAAACAGAGGAAGAGAAAGAGTTACTTCTTTTAAAGAGAAGGAGTGAGTGGTGGGTGAACACTCGAAATATCATGGCCATGGCGGCAATTTTTTTGGCAACAGTGAGCCTAACGGGATCGTTTACACCTCCCGCAAAGGTATTGGATGTGAAGGTTGCAGCCATCCTCTTCAGTGTATCTCTTCACATTTGCTTTATGGTATCATCGTTACTCTTATTCTTCCTATTTGGAGTTACTTCAACCTCTGCGAGCATTGAACAAAGATTCCTCCAACTAGCAAATTTGGGGTTGTGGATCTCCTTCTTCTTTCTCACTGCAGCTTACCTTGTTAACATGTCCACCATCTCCACTTGTGTCGTGTTTGGGGGCTTGGCTTCCTTCTTGTTCTCAGCCAAATTGAGAGCTATTTTTGGTGGAGTAAAAGTTCTGAAGGAAACTGACGATGATGTGAAGCCATACATCCTATATGAGATCTTCAAGGTACAAGAAGCACATGTGGTTGTTGACGTCTAGAGCTGAGTTGCATGAAGTCTTATTGGGTGTGCTGCATTTGTTTTGTGTACGTGAGTTTACTGCTTTTGTAAATATTTTTCTGTATAAGAACAGCTTTTGTAAATATGATAATGAGAAAGAGAAGTTTGTGTAAAAAATATTAGAGATTTCTATAAATAAAAAAGTATTTTCTTAAATATTATATAGTCGGAATCTTTCCTTTATCTTATCACAAAAAGAGGAGATATTGCTGATCTTTAGGGCTCGCAAGTATAAAAGTGAACTTTAGGGCTTTTGAAAGGCTATTTTTTATATCACCAAGGATGAATGGTCCTTGTAAACATTGGCTCACTCTCCGTGGGGAATGCTGCGAATGCAGATCATACTTAAAGCGTATTACGCTTCCGACAGGGTTAAGGGATACAAGTTTCCCTGAGTGCCGCCACTGGGTTGCTCAACAAGGAGTCTGTCGCCGATGCGGTGAAGAGGTGGACGAAAGAGATGGTATACCATTCGATTACATCGCCGAGAGAACTCAGCTGAGCCGGGAATACGTAACAGCAATGAAGAGGCAAAATTCTAGTATCGGGTATGGGCAGAGGAAGCTTCACTTAGTCCTCAATCTCCGCACCACACTTTTGGACAGCTGTTACATCTCCAGGCTTGCAGACGGAGATAAACATCTGGTGGAACAGGTTGGCATAAGGGATGATCTGAGGCGTTTCTCCAAGAGGTATGCGTGTAGTGACGTGTTGGTCAAGTTAAGGCCTTTCTTTGACCAGTTCCTGCTCGAAGCAGACGAGCTGTTTGTAATGCATGTCTATACGAAACTTGGCCGAAGCGACAGCCGCAAACTGGTTAAGATGCTTGATCCGCTAGGTATATTCTTTGGGCGGCGAGTCATCGTCCGTGAAGACAGTCTTGATGAACGCAAGACTCTTGGTCTCGTGTTGGCTCAACAAAGTGGCGTTGTAATCGTTGACTGGGATAGACGAGCGTGGGAGCCCAAAGATAGAAGGAATTTGGTTCAAATCAAGCCCTACAGATATTTCAAACATAACCCTCATGGAACGCTCAGCATCCTTTTCAATTTTCTCAAAAACAAACTGTTTAAAGTTGACTCAAGTCCTGAGCAAAAGATGCTTGATGATCAAGACACGTCTTTGATGGATCTTCTCAAATCCCTTAAGGATATTCACCGCAGATTTTTTAATGGCCCATCTTACGACGTTAGGGCGTTGCTAAATCCATGATTCTCGTTTTTGGGTACTATTTAGTATCAATCCTTCTAAATAAAACTTCCTCCGAATTTTGGAGTTATTGATATTTTTTTGGTCAACTTGGATTTTGTTGATACAAATCCTGAAACTGATATTCGGGTTAGATTTATTTTCAGGAAATCATATATTTGATGATAAGCAGGCGTACACAAATATTTATATGTACAACATATTTAATCCGCCAATAGAATGATTTATTAAAAGATAGTAAAATAACTAAACTAGAAACGTATATAAATAAATTGAACAAAGTCATGAATTCACTTTGATCAGTCAAAATTAGGATGTTCTTATAATTGAAACTAGATTTTGATCCGCACGGAAATTTTTATGATTAAAAATTTATATAATTGAGTTTTGTCCTAATTTAAATAATGTTTTGTTATAAAATCAGTTCACCAAAATTTGTGATGATGATTGTTTTTCATTAGTTTTTAGTTTCAGATTTTTTTTTTAGATTATGTTTTAGATTTGGATTTTTGGTTTTTAGTTTTTTAGTTTCTACTTTTGATTTTCAGCTTTTGGTTTGTGTTTTTAATTTTTAGACCCGTTGAATTAATTTGAACAGATATTACCAACAAACAAATCTTAAGTAATCAAACATCTAATTTAAAACTGAAAAGATGATAAAAAAAATTTGCAATAGTTTATTTTGTAAATAAACAAAATCAAAAAAAATATAACTTGTGTTTTCAGCTTTTGGTTTTGATTTTTGTTTTTAGATATGGTTTTCGGTTTTGCTTTACATTTTTTTTAAATCAGTAAATTATTTAAGAAAAATAAAACAATAAATTATTTAAAATACCATTGAAATTTATCAAAATAAAGTGATTGTTATTTAAAATAAAAAATATATTAACATGTTTTAAAATATATGATTTAAATAAATGAGTAATAATAGACAATTTTGTTTTATAAAAAATATTAAATACCTTTTAGGCCTAAAAATAATAATTGATTTTTTTATCTATTAAGGTGGAAAGTTTATTCAATGTTTTTTGGAGTTTTTCTTTAATACTATGCCCAAAAACAAAACTATATAATTTTTTCTAAAAACAAAGTAAGCCCAAGACTATATCTCATAAATAATCATCGGTTTAATTTAAGTAATGCGGTTCAATTAATTATATGGCTTGTGTTACATATTTGTAACACTCTAAAAATGGTCCAAATTTAAATGACAACTTGTATCAGTAGATAAAAAGAAAGACTTTATTTTAATAGAGTAGATAAAATCAGACAAAAATTTATTCTATTAAAACAACAACATGACCTATTGATATATGTGTTATCCAATTATTTAATTTTTTTTTATATAAAGCAAACTGTATGACTTCTTTGTTGGCAACGTTAATTGTAGCCATAACTATTTTTCCTAATAAAATAATTTTACAACCTCTATTTTAGCTCCAGCTCCCACTTCCCCCAAACACATATATTCAACCACGTTTAATATTATTGACTATTATTTCTTCATTTTAGTTCATACAAAATATCAATGTGATGGTGTTATCTATTATACTAAAATTAATAGTTTAACATTTGTATCAATTGCTATATTATAATCCTCACTTTCAGATATATAACTGTTCTTTTTTTTTTTTTGACTATTAACCTATTAATATATTATATTAGAATTTACATTACAATAACATAACTTACAAACCCAAGAAATAAGGATTTATTCAATCAGACATTAATTTATTCAAATTTTAAATATTTTATACAAACATTTAATTTATCAATTAACAAAGCATATAATGTTAAAAATAGGGTTTAAGTGGATTTTTAGTAGAAATAAATATTCGTATAAATTCAGTTAATTTAACGGGTTTAAAACAGGTTATTAGATTAAAAATATTTATTAAAGGTGATTTTACTTAAAGTTAGTGAATACCACATTAACCCATTTACATATATACATATATTTAATAGGATATACTAAAAATTAATAGTTTCAAACCTTTTTCAAAAATTTGTTCGGTTTTTGTTGCGGGTTGAGTTTGATATTAGTTTTGGGATATAACACTTTAAGAATCGTCCGAATATATAAGTCAGGTCTAATAGAGTATGAGATTTTGATTCCGAGTTTATTCTAAATCAAATTTTTGGATCCAAATATTTTTGACTAATTATGTTAGGTAACTACTAAAAAATATAATATGTTGCAACGTTTAGGAATAAGATTAAAAATAATTTCTGAAATATATATGGTATAAGTGTATAATTATTTTGCAACTTGACATATTTAATATAGTTACCAAAATTATATTAAACTAAAGGGATTAATATTAAACATAAATACGATAATAAAAACACAAATATAAAAATCAAACTTAAAAAAAAATATATATATATATATATACCCGCCCTTTTTAAAGGGCGGGTCAATACCTAGTTATACTTAAAACATAAATTTGTACTTTTACTGTTTTCTCTTTAAAACAAAATGGTGAAGGTTGAGCATAGATGGCGTGAAATTTTTTTGATAGAATTAGAAGGTAATTAATCAGAGTGTTTTTGTAATAATTTCCTTTTATAATTAAGAAACAGTTTCACATGTCAAATCCTATCGGGAAAGTGACTAATGCTTTTACATTATTATATAAGGGATAATAACTATCAACGGGATCATAACAAAAAAAATTTTGGTCAATATCCCAAAAGCATTAATTAAACAGATAAATAGATAATCATAACAACAGAAACTCTCAAGTCAAAATCTTCTACGGATAATCAAATTCCCGGCGCTTAATACTATATATAAGATCGGTGTGTGAATTTGGAAAAGAAAAACGCAATTATGGTTTGTGGTCATAGTGTTGTTCTACATGGAACCTGTTGTAAATGCGGATCAGCTGTGGATGAAAGCAATAAACTTATACCTTTCGAGTTCCTTGCCAAGGGCTTAAAACTGAGCCCTCAGTACGTTGGTTTTATGAAGCGCCACACCATGATAAACACTTTGAAGGAGAAGAAGAAGCTTCACTTGATCCTTAACCTACACGGCACACTCTACGACTACGGTCGAATTTCTGCCTTGTCCGACAGAGAGAAGCATCTGGTCGGAGAGGTCGATTCAAGAGATGATCTTTGGCCGATCACCGCACGGCACCATCAGGGTTTGATAAAGCTGCGCCCATTTGTTCACGAGTTCCTACGTGAAGCAAACAAGTTGTTCACGCTACATGCTTACTCGCTTTCCCCTTCCGACCACTCCGATTATATGCTCAAGTTGCTTGATCCGCATCAAACCTACTTCGGCCGCCGCGTCATCTGCGGCAGAGACACGTGGATTAAAACACTTGACCTTGTCTTGGTCGACGAGCGCGTTCTTGTTATCCTGGATGATCAATGTTCAACTTGGTGGACGGACCACACTAACCACTTGCTTCAGATCATGACTTACCGTTATTTCAAAAGACCCACCACGAGTGGATCATTGTTTGCAAATCTTCTTAACCACATTAAGAGATACTTGTTCGGATATGATTGCGACCAACTGGCTCCAAAATCATCTTACTCGGAGGAAGGTACAGATGAAAGCGCAGAGGATGGAGGATTGGCCAATGCTCTCAGATTTCTTACGAATCTTCATCAACGCTTCTTTGACGGGGAATATAAAGACGTTAGGATGTTGCTTCAGCCATGATTTAATGCAGAGATATGGCATGTTTTAAAAGTTAAAAACTCTTTTGCTCGTCTTACTATCAACAACAGTATTCTTATCATTAGTATTCATCCATTGTTGTTTAAAGCAAGTACTTATACATATACTCAGTAAATCAAGCAATAGCCTATAACAAAACAGTTTAGTCAAGCAAAACAGAACAAAAGAACTCCAAAAACACAAAACGAAATATATTTGTTCCAAAAAAGCAAAGCAAAAAATATGCTTCTCTTTTTGAGAAGAGTAACTTGACCAAACATCGTTCGAGTGTCAAATTCAGAAGCCAAAATTAGGGAAACCTAGAACAATGTTTCATAGCCTATAATACAAAAAAAAAACCTCAAAACAATAAGTTCGGAGAAGGAAAAAGAAAAATAATATTTAGTGACAAAATCTCAAACAAAATTAACTAATTAACTAGATTTTCATCCGCGTAACCGCGCGAGTGTTATTTTCATTTTTTATATGCATAAATATTTATTTTATATTATTAGTGACATTAGTTATACATTTAAATGTTTATAAAACTATTACAAATACAATAATTTTATAGTTCACATGTTAATGACAATTGTTTCAATTATTTTTTATTATATATTTATCTTCTTCAATTTGTATTTGATTATTAAATAAACTACTATATACATCAAAAACCTGTTTGAAAATTACTTTATATTTAAATTATATTAAAAAGCATATTTTTATGTTTATTTAGGTAATATAATATTCTATATAAAGGTTTATATGTTAATTTTATACATGTATTATATATTTAATAATGTTAACCTATTCTTCCAACGTATTATATTTTTAACATTAATATTTTCTATTTATGAAAATAATATAGATTTATTGATCCATTTAATAAAATTTAACTAAAGTAATTTTCTAGCAGATAGATAAAAAGATAGAATTTTTATTTTATTTTATAAAAGATAAGAATATATATATATATATATATATATATATTAATGTATAATTATATACATTACTAATTCGAAATTAGTAAAATATTTACATATTTTTAAAAAGTTAAGATCTTTATGAAATATTTTTCAATAGATATTTTGTAATTTGAATATATATTTATATTTAAAATGAAAAAGATATTAAAAGATATTCTAATTAAAGTAGGTACAAATATTTTATTATTAGATTTAATTAAATACATAAAATAAAAATTTCTAGTGATAGTCTATTTTTTAAAAAAAAATCACACATGAATCAAGATCATAATTTTGTTTTAATATATAATAAGATAGTAGTGTTTTAGCATAATTCCAAAGAAATCAACTAAAAAGAAAAACATGCAGCTAGACAACAATGATGAAAATATGATACGGGTGGCATCTTTATACTGTACTCTATACTCATACGAATATATTATTTTCTAAATATAGTAGTTAAAAATCACCTAAATTCTCTTAACAAAAGATCTCAAACATATTATGATGATAATTATCTTAAAAAGGCAACTGTACAAATGAGATTGACATCTCAATAAAGGCATGTCATATATAAGAAAGAAAGGATCCATGATAATAAGAAAAGAGATCAACTAAGTCCTCTCTGTTCTGTTAACATTAAAGAAATCTCGCCTAAGAAGAGCTTTAAGCTACTCAAAATAAGAAAAAGGAAGCAACGGAGCTTAATTTGAAGACATTCCGCCTCTCGGTGGTCTGTTACTGCTCTCTGCAACGTTAATCTCCGAGGGTTTGTCTTCTTCTTCCGGCTCCAGACCAAGAACACCTAGAAGAATGAACTCCTTCAACAGAAGTGTGTCCACAATGGTACCCACCTCTTGCCTAAACTTCTCAGAGCATCTCTCGCTACTCTCTTCCCCTTCTTTGACCTTTCCCCTCACCAAAGACGCCACTAAAGCTCCGTTTCTATAAGCAGTACACGCCCTCAACACGTCGTGAGCACAGCTAAAGAAATGCCCATACGTAAAGTCTTCAAAATACTGTAAAATCCAACAAAACACATCAGAACAATCAAAGCTCAAGTTTCTATTTCAAAGGTTTAAATGGATGAGTTTTAGTTTTTTTTTTGTTACCTTGGGTGGTCTCCTCATGTTGTAAACCATTGTCTTCAAAGAAAGCAAGAAGGTGTTCTCGCTGTAAAGGTTAGACTGGGACTCCCCGGCTGTAGAACCCGCTGATCTCTCGTAGCCAGGCTCGTTGAAGTAAGGCTTCTCATTCAAAATCAGACCTTGGATTGAGACGAGAACCTGCAACATTGTAGAATTGTTGGGGATCCACTTCTCCCTCGGGGCACCACTCCAAGTGCCGAGAAGACTCAGACACACTTTCCCACAATTGTACAGATTTGGGTTGATTCTTAGCCCACCAGACTGGTAATGAACCATCTGAATGCAAAACAAAACTCACAATCACAAAAGAGAACACTTTGGGAGACAGACAACTAAAAACTCACTTTTGAGACAGTTCCACTGTACTTACCGGAGGCACAGAAGGGTATGTATCCGGGAAGTAGATATCGAAAAAGAAGAGACCGTCATGGTAAGGAGTTCCATCAGCTCCAACAATCACAGCCCTCATAAGGTCCATCCTAGACTCATAAGCTCTGACAAATATCATCTCTGTTGCAAAAACACAAACAACAAAAAGAGAATGTAAAAAGAGTTGCTAACATCAAGCAGAGCAAACTCATGTTATTGCACTGACCTGGCAAATCATTCTCAAGAATTTTCCACTCCTCTTGGATCCTTTTCGCCCATTCTTTCGAATGCTGAAAATAGGACAAAGAAATAGTCAGTTTTCGAGAAAAACAAAAACAAAACATACATTCAAGAGTTCAAACTATCGGGTGGTAACCTGCTTTGAAGATGTTCCCTGAGTAGCGTATTCATGGTCCCCCAAATCTTCAACAATGTCAAACTTTTTGAAAAACAAATACTTGCCAAGATAATCCTCCATATTCCTCTTAACTCTGGAAGAACCCTGACCTTGAATAACCTCCTCCACTCTAGGCCGAGCAGAAGGATACATCTTATGCCCTTTATACCAGGATGGGTGGTTTGGTACCGGAAGCACTAAACCAGAAGAAGCCGGAGCTGGAACCGGAACCGGAACCTCCACCATCACTGTATCAGGAGTCTGAGGCTCAATATCACTGGAAGAATACTTAAAAGCTTGCGATGCAGAGTAGTGGTAAGTCTGGCTTTTCAGTGGCAATGCGTAAGCAGAGTTTGGTATCACTCCTTTAGCGTTGTGTGGCAAAGCATTCCACGGTTGAGCAACCGGAGCCTTCTTTGAGCTGCTGCTACTGCTGCTGCTGCTAGGAGCTTCTGGCTCGTCACGAGAACTTTTGCCACTTCCACTTGATTTACCAGTTTCAGAATCTGGAAGCCAGTCCATTGTCACCTCAACACCAGCTGGGATTTCCTTCTCCTTAGCATCAAAAAGAGCTTGATACTCTGAGACGTAATCATCAGCACCATCATCATCATCATCATCATCCTCCTCAAGCTCATCCTCCATCTCATACCCATACTGATCAGAATAGTCATCGTCGTCTTCGTAGATTAAAGAATCAGGGTCTAGCAAACTATTAGACAACGGAGAGGAGCCAGGACACGACTCATCGTTGTTTGTTGTGTCATAACAATCACTAGCAGATCCCTATAAATAACAAAAAAAAAAAAATCTTTTTTAGCAGTGAAGAAAGCTTATTACTAATAAAAAATAATATGAACAATTTTAAGTTTTACCTCAAGCTGCTCATCATCGTCTCCCATCAGTATAGCCTTCCCTTTGTTCTTATTATCAACATTGTTGTTATTAAATTGTTGCTCCACACCATTAGCTTCTGGAGTTTCCACCTACATGACAATAAATGATTAAATCTCAAGCAAAACCGGAGTTAGAGATTGGTTCAATCATTAAAACAATAGTCACGAAGAAACCAAACACAAGTATCACATTACATAGCTACAACAGAACACGATCACAGTTACAGTGATCAGAACATGAAACAATAAATTAAAATTGGGCAAAAAAAAAACAAATCAAACATCAAAGAGACACGGACAATGCACGTGATCGAACATTAAAAAACAAAAAACAAAAAAAAAACCTAAAAGATTCTTCAGTAAAACCCTTAAAAATCAAATTAACTTTGGAGAAACCCAGATGATGATCGCGAACACACAATTCCGAAAAAATAAAATTGAAACTTATTACAGCATGTGAAATTTAGGTTAAAGTATGAAACCTTGTTAGGGGTAAGAGTTGTGGAGCAAGAAGCGACGGGATGAGCGATCTCTGGCTCCATTACACGAACCGATCGATCTTCCACTTTGTGTTTGGGTTCTCTCTCTCTTGTGTCTTTTAACCTTGGCGCCGTATTCACTAGTGAGATTGCGCAAAGGCGATGATGATGATGAGAAACACCACTTCTTAAAAAACCAAATTCTCTCTTTGCTCCTCTCTTTAATTATAAATTGATTTATTTATGGAATTTTTCCAATTTGTGCGTTTTTATTTGTCAACAAGTCAATATGTTAAAAAGTCTACAAGATGGGGCCCGGTTTTATTCTTCTACGGTTGTGCTTTTGTTTAGTGTTGACGTGGCTTTATCGACGGTTATTATAAGGGTTGTGGTATAGTGTGTTGCTGTAGAGGAAAGAAAGCCAAGCTTACTCGACACGGTTGGTGGTGACTTAAGGCTTTGATTTTTCACAGTCGTAGGATGTCAGATAATAAAAAAAAGTTTGGGTGAATCCAACGGAGAAAAACTCTTCTATTAATTATTTTTTTGCCTACAGAGCAATCATAGCAAATAATATGAGAAAGATATTTAAAAAAATCTTCATTAATCTAGATATACATAAAGAAAATAAACTATAGTTGGGTGATTATTTCCCTATGTTATAAAGTGTATAATAATTAGGATTTCTCTTAATAAATAGGATAAACATAAGGAAAAAGAGAAAGATATTCAAAAAAACTTCATTAATCTAGATATACATAAAGAAAATAAACTATAGTTGGGTGATTATTTCCCTATGTTATAAAGTATATATAATAATTAGGTTTTCTCTTAATAAATAGGATAGCATGACTTGTTATTAGCTGTTTTTATATTTTAAAATAGTAACTATTATTAGTTGATAAGGCAGCATACAGAAAAGTTGTGATAAGTAATAAAAAAACCTTTTTAATTGTAAAAAGTGAAATTATTTATGTTAGTGTGACATGTCGCATTCTAATTCATTTTATGTTTTTAAGATCATTACTAGATTTTGATCCGCGCGTTTGCGGATGTATGTTTTCGTTTATAGTTATAAAGATTTTGTTTTCACTTGTAAATTGATATATATTATAGTAATCACATATTTACGATATGTATAGTAAATGTTTTTCAAACATAATAATATTATATAATAAGTGTTTTAATCAAATAAATTGTTTCAAATTATCTATATTATACATGTTTTTCAAATATGTGTTTGTTTCTTCTTCTATATTTTATTGTTTGTTAGATTAGTATTTCATTTTTTAGATAAAATAATATAAATAGAGCTTGATTAAATATTAATATATTTTAATTTGCAAAGATAATATAAACTTCGAAGCAATTTTTGCTAAAAACTAAACTTATATCTTCATAAATTATTATTATAAAACATTTTATTAAAAAGGAATATTTAAACAATTTCTTTTTTTAAACAATATAATTTTAAAAATTTACATCGAAATAAATTTATCTAATATATATAGCATGTAAATTTTGTTAGGGTATATAAATATTCCATATTACTAATCTGTGATTTTTGTTAATATATTGTGGATGCATTTAATTATTATTGACATATTTGCTTATAAATAATAGAAGATTCATAAACTTATATCTATTGACATATTTTGCGTGACTAAGTTGGAAGGTGTGAGGTAATTTACCAAAACCAAAAATATTAAGCGTATCTTTGTTATTATAGATATGATTTTTTCATAAGATATAATAATGATAAGATTATTAGAGAATTAATGTAATATAACTCTCTAGTAATAGCCCATTTTAAAAAAAAAAATCACACATGAAATCAAGTCATAATCCATTTAAAAAAAAAAATCACACATGAAGTTAAGTCATGACTTCTGTTTTAATATATAAGATTTGAAAGAGATTCATTTTACTTTTCAAAACAAAGAAAGTGGACATAAGTAGATTATCTGAGTTTTATCAATAAGTTAGCAATGAACAGACATGTTGAGACCCAATTATACAGGAACCCATTTCTTAGTAAAATAGTGGAAGCTCTTTCTATCTATAAATTACAGAGCAATCAAAGTTTTGATCCACTAAGCAGAACAAGAACTCAAACAACCTTAAAAAGATCAAAGCTTCTTTAGTTTCTTTGGACTTTTATTTTCAACCACAACAAAATGGGGGACTCTGTATCCAAATACAAATACTCAAGATGAATCAATCTCTTGTTTTTAAGGGGCAATGAACTACTCTCATTACTTTTTTTGATCTATCAAATACTGTATTTAATAAAAACTAAAAAGCCTTTTATTCAGACGTTGAAACCTTCAGCTCGGAGACACATTTTATGAGCTTCGATCCATTTAGCGCAAGCAGATTCACCATGCTCTACGATGCATTCATCTCTCAGCTTCTTGGTGTCAGGGCAAGCACAACATATCTTCTTCTTTGGCTTTGTCTCTACAGCGGAGGCAGCTGCAGCTGCTGTAGCCTTGCTATCTGAAACTGGGGGTGGAGTAACACCGTTTGTTGCTGGTTGGTTACTCATCCTGTCAGTCATAATGCAGAGAAAGAATACAATCAAAACGTATGAACAAAGGGAACACATATAAACATAGTTAAAAAATACTAAGTGAAGTATCCACACAAACGAGAAACAAACTATCCATTAGTAGTTCAATACATACTCTTATAGATCAATGTGTTTCTCTCAAGAAGTCTTAAACATCCAAACACTGAATCACACAGTACACTCATTGGTAATTCATAAGTCCTTAAACATTGGCATATGCTCACTATCGAATAAAAACAAAGATAAAAATAACATTCTTGGGTTCTATAAAAGCTAATGAGCTCAATAAGAGCTAACAACGGTGTACACATAAATCTACAACAATCCACAAAGACATAATTGAGAAATGTTTTCAAATTTTCAGATTCTCTAGGTTTCTATGGTGAAAAAAAACATGAGAAAAAAATGAATGACGTAATTAATTAGTTTAGACTAGGCAAGGCTATATATCGATAAACAAATCTGATACACCCTAAGAAAAAAAAAAACTAAAACCCTGAACTTTATAAAAAAAACGAATTCTCATCTATAAGATGATACCAACGGGCCAAAATCATAAACCAAATTATTTACAATTGAAATCAATGAGCAGTCAAGCAAATGAAATCCAGGAAACTAATAAAAAGATAAAACACTTTCTAACTAATTTACAGCAATGTCACAGTAGTTGATACAAATGTTTCTTAGGATTGGAGAAAAGACAAACCTTTGAGTGGATTTGCAGAGGAAAGATCAAAGAGTGGAGAGAACCGGTGAAAAGAGAAGACCTTTTTGGCTTGAAGAAGAAGGAGACGGCGACTTAAATAAATAAAATGAGAAATTGAAAAGTAAAGCCACCTATTTAGAATTTTTGAACTTTCGATTGTGTCTGTTTCTACACCACAAGTACATAAAAAGGCATCAAAACTGAATTATGGACTCGTCCAATGGGCCAGGCCCATTTATTAAATGAAATCTATCTTGAAGGAAAGTTTTGGTTGGTATTATTGATGTTGAAGACAAGACAAGGAAGTGTAAAACCTGATGTCTTAAGAAGTTAATCTTTTTGTTTAAGTGTAGTAGACAGTGAGGCTCAGGGAATTGAGTTTTATTAAGCTATATAGACTCTGAATGAAGCATATGTGAGTGAAGTATTAAGGAAAGGCTTCACCTTTCAATACCTTTCAATCTTGAACAAAAAAGAAACCTTCAATGTATGTATTGAAGAAGAAGAAGCAGCTAATGGAGATGGAGCAAACACATTATTTTCATTGACAATTTTTCTCTATTTCAACTACAAAATCCAAATCTTTTCACACTTAATCTTCTGACAACTATGAAAACCGACAGTGGTTTTTGATCTAAACACTTCACTTTCCCTTAAGCTGACGGTATCAATCAATCAATCATACTTCTCCCTCCAAGTATAAACTAGGAAGAAAACCCAAGAGACAGCCAAAGCAATATCTCCAAGAGCTTGCTTAGGACACTCAAACGCAAGATCTTCAATCTTCCACTCAAACACAACTCTCCACAAAGCCATAAGCACATAGAGAATCACAGACCCTCCAGCGAAGAAGCTATGAAACTCTCTATCCTTAACAAACGACACCATGAAAAGCACCAAACCTATGGCAAAGAGAAGCAAACCGGAGAAAGATTGAGAGATCTGGATGAGTATCTCGTCGTGAGGCGTTGAGCCTTTGAGCTTGTTAGCTATGTCGCTGCCGTGTCCAAAGATTGAAGCTTTCTCTGTGTAGAACATCATCAGGGTCCCACTTGTGAGTGCGATAACGGAGTGGAGTATACAGATTACTCGGAAGAGATGTGAATTCATCGCCTGAGAATATTGAATCAAAGACACATATTAAACTGAAAGATTTGAGTCTTTTAATAGAGAAGATTAAAAAAAAGGGAAAAACACTTCACTGTGGTGAGGGTTTAAGCTTTGTCGGAAAGATACGGTCTTGAGAGAGAGAGAGAGAGAGTTGTCTGAATCAGATAGATTCAACTTCTGGGGATAGTTTAGGATAAACACTTTTAGTCTTGTCTTGATGCAAAAGAAGATCTTTTGTCTTGATCTTTGCTCTTCTTTGGCAGCTTCTTTATTGTTCAACAGAAATTCAAAATCAAACCCACCGTTTAAAGATTGCTTTCCGATTATAAATGGGAGTGAAATTATATAGTTTTATAAATATCTTTGAATAAAATCTTTTAGCTTTAAAAATATATAATATCTGAAATAATTGTCAGAAAATAACAAAAAAACTATTATGTCAATAATGTTATTTGTAAGTTTATGGAAAACGTTATCCTTTAGGCATATGACAATTCTTTATACAAATTTGAAAATTACTAATCATCAGAATATTAGTTATTAGAAGAAACAAGGCGCTTTCATGGTTTTCCACTCTAATCAACGACCATGACATTTTCAACATTCAAGAAATAATGATATTTTTTTTGTTCCATAAGATAAGAACACTAATCCTTCAACGTCACAAAATAGATAAGAAAACAGTACACTACTGAACTTAAGGTTTGTCCTTTAACGTAATCAACGATCTGATAACACTTGGAGGAACACTATCAGCAAGAGCTCCAAGTTCGGATATTAAAAGAGTCTTCTCCTTTAGTAAGCTCTGCAGTTTCTTTGATTCAAACTCCATTCTCTTTTCATCTACACAGTTTAAATATTACACCCTTAGACTACTAGTAGTTCAGCAAAACAATAGTAGAGAAAACGAACCTTTCTCTAGCATTGTATGCACAGCATGAAAAGGGACAGCAGCGAAAAGGTCAGTTCCAGGGAGCATCATCCAGGTGGGTTCACTAGAGTCATGAGAACCACAAGTCGAGCAAACTTCTTGAACCAAAGGTTTGGTTGATCTCCCTTGTGTATCTTTCATCATAGAATCAAAAGGAGAAGGGACGCTAGTCTTTGTAGTCCGAGCTTTCTTCCTTAGTGCTGTAAGAGCCTCTCGGTTCGCATTCCTCTCCCTATCATTCTCCACCATCTGTTATTAAACAAAACTCACATGGATGTTAATGTAACTTCTAAGTTTTCAACCAATCAAAAGAAACTAGTAGTAACCTGACTTCGAACTAGGAGAAACTGATCGCCAACAGCTTCATATCTCTCGTATACTTCAACAACCTTCTTTGGGTCCAACTCCATCTTAGTTTAATAGATTCCGACAAGTGACAAAGGCTCGAGGAACAGCTAAAAACAACATAAATAAGTAAATGTCACATGTCTCGAGCTGGTAAGAACAAAAAAAACATGCTTCCTGACTATGGATTCTTGTGTGCTTATTAAGCTCAGTTTCAAAATCCAAAGCTCTAACTAAAACCCAGTGGCATCCCAAGATCTTCACTAATGTTTTCAATTAACCTAAATCAATTAATCGTATCCTTACGGACCGAAGGTAAACCACAACACCTAAACATAGCTTAACAAGTTTCTCTGGTTCATTTACAGAACAATACAAAGTTTCTCGAGAAGGAAACAAAAAAAAAAACACTAACCTTTTACGGACGAAAGAGGAGAGGAGAGGAGGACCGATGAGAATCTCGGCGACGCTGTGAAACGAAGGGAGAAGGAGCTGTTAAAAATAAACCACCAAATCAGAGAGTTTATTATACTAATGGGCTTTGATCTATTAATGGGCCAGGCCGAATTGATTGTTAGAATTGTAATTTTTTTTTTTTTTGCTAAAAAATAACGGAAACGACGCCGTCTGTGGGGATCGAACCCACGGCCACGGGATTAAAAGTCACGCGCTCTACCACTGAGCTAAGACGGCAATTTGATATTATCTGCTTCTCATTAATATTTCATAGAGAAATACGTTATTTACAGATCAAATAAGCAGAGTATAGGATTGATCAACGTTTTCAATGTTATAAGATTTTATACCATAGACATGAATAAGCCAAAGGGGACACAATAAAATCATTATTACTGTACTCCAAATAGTTATAAATTAATTATTTTGTTCAGTTTCCCGTATCTTCCTCCCTGAGCATAGTTTCACTGATGTATTATAACACAACCAACTTCAGAAAGATACACAACTCTGTTTCTGTTCTTAGCTCACACAGCTTTAGTCGTCAAGTTCAATCAAAACATTCGATGACAACAACTTGTTGGTCCTAGCCTAGGTGACGCAGAGCTTGGTCTTTCCTCAGATGGCCTAGGCCGATCCGTTGCTTGGTCCATGACAAGACAGTGAGTTATGTCAAGTTTGTGGATTCATCTACTCATGTGTCTTCTTCTACTGAAAAACACTATAGGGTAAAACACTTATTACTAACAATGAATCAATGATAGGGAAAAGAAAGAAAACATTGTGTATAGAAGAATTTCATTAAAAAATGATTATCACTTTTTTTAATCCTTAAATTACCTATTTACATTGATTAACTCCTGTTTTAGCCTCACTGACTAACCTATCCACAAGTCCCTGAAGCCTCTTAGCTCCAAAACCAGGCTTAACCTTACCCACATCACCCACCTGTGAGCACTTTGGTTTCCCACTGCACCACCCATCAGGAGTAAAACCATCTCTATCATTCCTCCGTTTAAGAAACGCCTTATCAATCACATCAAGCACTTTATCATCTCTCTTGAACTTCCTAGCAAACGCAGCGCCGCTGGATATCATCTTCACCGTGTCGTTTAGCGTCAACACGTGAGGATGCTGCTGCGGAGGTGTGTCCCATGAGATGTAGTGAAGGTCATGGTTCACTGCTGTTTTCGAGAACTCGGGGACATTGCAGATTACTGTGTGGAAGTAACTTTCAGGTGATGAGACGAAGTTGGTGTAGTACATTAGAAGTGTTCTTGGTAAATTGTCCCATCCCCATATGCAATATTCTACAAAGGAACGTGACAGAGCCATCCAAGCAGAACCTATAACAACAACAACAACAACAAAGTTGACTTAATACAGTTTAGAGCTTTAAACACAGTTTTAGAGGACTGACCAGTGAATAACTTAAACGCAGTTGGCAAACTTCTACGAGGTGTGACCCAGTAGATATCTGATTTGTTTAACAAGTAGAGTCCAGGATCAATCATTATTGGCATTGCTCTCTTCTCCCTTCACAATTAAAACAAGATATCAGTACACTATTTGAGACAAAGTCTCTCATATCGATAGTTGGAAGAGATTCTTACGAATATATAAGATAGATGGGTCAATCCACTTATTACGAATTGGTTTTTTGGTTAGAAGCACATCTAACTTAACATACACAAGAGCAAAAGATTCAACTAAAGAAGGTGAAAGAACTTACTCTTTCCAGCCTAGTTCACTTGTGTGTTCAATGAAGTTGAGGTTCCGGTCCAGAGTTGAAAAAGTATGAAGCAGATCTTCAAATAAAACAGTAAATTAATCAAGCACAAGACTAATCTTCAAGTAAAACATTAAAATTAATCAAACACAAGACTAACATCTTGATGAAAACAGAGGTTTTTAATTACCATCTTGTGTCACCAGTGGATAATCTGAAGCACTAAGATTAATAAACCAATCCCAGTTAGCACTTCTCTTAAGCAAAACAGCACAAGCATGAAGTGTATTAGCCACCATTGTTGGTCCTCTATACGTCACAAGATTAGCCTTAGTTATCATAAAGACATTCCCGGTTTTGGAATACATAAGATCCTTATTAATCCGAGAAGCTAGCTCTAGTCTCTCATCAACCGGTGATTCAAGATCCAAGTGAACAACGTAGTGATTTCTAGGATGGTACACTGCTCTAAGCGTTCTCCAAAGCTTTTCCACGTCCCCTTTGGAACCTGAGACAAGGTATGCGAAACGTGGAAGCTTGTCTTTACCACGGGTTTGTTGTTGTTTAGCGAGTTTGGACTCTGCAAAGTCGGGTCTGGTTTGGTTTCTGAGGTGATGATGGGAAGGGATGATGGAGAAGAGGCTGTTGATTTTTCGAAGAGAAGAGATGAGATTCATGTTGAAAGAGGTTGCGAGGAGGAAAACCAAGGCGAGAGATGTGATGATGAGTGGGAAAACCCATCTTTTCTCCATGTTTAAATACCCCATTGCAGTAAAAAGTAGTGATCATGAGATAAAAAAAGAAGGCTTGAATCCTTCAGAACCAGCCACAATCTTGAGTTCAGGCTTGTTCAAGACACAAAGACCTATCAAAATGTGAGAAACGTTAGTAAAGTGGTCAGAAACAGATATAGAAAGAAGAAGATACTAAAACAAGCAGTAAGTTGCCAGATTCTCACGCATCATCAGAGCTCAAAGCTTGAGAGATAGGAAACAATATAAGATAATTAAATCAAGACAATCAAACATCTTAGCAGCTAGATTAAAGCAACTCTTTAAACATCTCAAAAATGCCATTACCCATTGCAAAATGGATACTTTTTAAAAACCCTTGTCCTATACTATCACCAAAAACCAAACAGAAAGCATCAAATAAAAAAACTCTTCTCACACACCATCGGAATCTTTGAAGCTGCAATTTAGATCTAGCGCATTGTATAATATACTTAACTCACCCCGACAGAAAAAAAAGAAACAAATCTAGAGATTTAGAAACAACAGATTAAAAAACGAAACCTTTCTATTTTGCTTGCTACGCAAAAATAAGGTTGAAATCTCAAGTTATTGAAACTTTTTAATGCTCAAGAACACGGGCACTCTCCTGTGACTAGTAAAGAGAGTTATATAGAGACTGTGAACTCTCTCAAACGCTTTTGAGATTTCACGTGTGTGAGAAACTCTCATTCGTTGAAATATTCTCCCACATTCTAATTTGAGCTGTAATAAGTTTCATTACTTTGGTTACTCTGCTGTTCCTTTATTACTGGAATCTATGCTATTTTCAATTTAAGTTTTTTTTTAATTTGATTTTATTACAAACGTATGACGAGAAAGAAACCCTTTTGGTTGACACGTTTTCCAAAGCTTGACAATGAACCAAACCAAGATGATCCAAATTGAATACAGTCATTATTATCTGTGGGGATGATAGATACTCATTTTTAAATAAAAACGTATTTGTAACAGACTGACACGTATGGTAATGTGATAGCAACACCCACTTCTTTTGCTTTTCTTTTCCTAAAATATCCTCTCTGTCACTATGTGCATCTTGCAATGAAGTAATATCAAAATCCTATTGATCAAAAATTATGAAAAATAATATAATAGAAAATAATAATATATTAGCAATTTAAAATTTACAAAAAAAATTAATATATGTGAAAAAGTTAAAATGGATCTTATTAAAACAAAAAGATTGATACTTTCTTATTTAACGACAACACGTAATTATTTTTTTCCTCTCAAGTGTGATAACATCTTTTAGAGTTCGGACTCGATTTGTTTACCACTGTAAGACCAATTTATTCAATTGTTGAATCACTATAATGAGGGTATTGAAAAATGAAATTTGATGATGTGGATTAATTGGTGTTGAAAAATTCAATTAGTTGAATAAAAAAAAAGTGGAGTCCATTGACGATACATGTCATTTTTTAAGAATTTTTGATATTTTGTTATCCTTTTAGTTATTTAAACTAATAATCTCATTATATATAAAATCATTTAATTTTATTTTTTATGAAAATTTACTATTTTAGATTTTCTATAAATAAAAACTAAGTTTATTTAATTAGGATATAGAAAAGAAATTGTTAATTAGTAAAATAGAGTGTTGAATTTTATTCAATAAAACCATTGTAGTAATTAAAAATTGAATGTGTGTTGAATAATGAGGTCGAAAAAATAGAATATGACATGAACTGTTAAAAAATGAAGTGGAGTATGTTGAAATTTAAAACCATTGTACATAGTCTAACTGTAATTCTGATGTACGAACTTCATTATATAGATCATGAAAAGGTACATAGAAGCCTATTCTAGGGTATGTGTTGTTTGAGAAGGATGGGTTTAATTGTATGTGTAACAAAGGATATAATCTTTAAATAATGAAAATATATGTTTATCAAAGGATGTGTTGTTTAGAAATATATTGGTCAAAGAAATATAAAAAGTATGATTGTCAAAGGATGTATTGTTTAAATAATGAAAAGATATAGGTTTTAAAGACTGCATTGTGTAAAAATAATTGATCAAAAAAAAAAGTTTTCCAATACAATTTTTTGATGGCATCATCAAAAATGTTTTATATCTGTTAGATAATACAAATAAAAGAAATTTGACAATTAGATCAATTTCTTTTTATATAAAAAAGATAATGTCAAAGGAAAACAAAAAGTAGTTTGCCATTATATATGGATTTTTTTTTGGGTTTTCACATATATAATTCATTAAATTGATTAGTTATAAAATATAAAATAATTTCATTTGAGGGTATAATGGGGAATTCAAAATGATTTAGTCTAGTGAAACAATTATACAATGATATTATCATATTATATTAAGACAATGTATATGTTTTTTGGTCAAAAAAAAAAAAGACAATCCCTAGTATATTTTGGTTGATTTCAGTAGAAAACCGAGAGTCTGGTTGAACCGAAAAACCGGAACTCATAACAGGTCGTGTCTGAACTGGATACTCAGAATCTGAGCAGGCCTTGGGCTATATGTGTCAACTAGGCCTTTTGGTCGGAATAAATAGATAGATAGATGGAGTTGGGAGATAGGGATCTGTAAAGGTTGAAACAACAATAGCGGCGAAGATGATGATATCGGATCTCCCAAGGGATATGGCAGAGGAGGTGCTCTCTAAGCTTCCGATGACATCTCTGAGAAGAGCTCGATTCACCTGCAAAAGATGGAACAACACTTTATCGAAAGATTGGAGCTTTACAAAAAAGTACAGAGACGAAGCAGCAAAGAGGAAGGAGTTACAAGTGGTGATGATGCTCGAATACAAGGTTTACTTGATGAGCGTCAATCTCCTCAATCCATTGCCCTCATCTATAGAGCCTATAGGTAAACTCGTTAGCCTAGACGACGATGGAGTCGACATGATTAAAATCTTTCACTGCGAAGGTTTGTTGTTATGCGTTACCAAAGACAGAACTAGGCTTGTTGTTTGGAACCCTTTTAGTGGACAGACAAGGTGGATCAATCCCAGAGATTCTTACCACAGATGTGACAGGTATGCTCTCGGATACGAGAAGAAGAAGAACAACAACGGCTCGCTCAAAGTCTTGAGATTTGTGGATGACTACGACCACAACTTAGAGCGCCGAGTATGTGAGTTTGAAATCTTTAATTTAAAATCTAGTTCTTGGAAGGTGGTTGTTGATTTCAATCCAGAGTGGATGATACAGTCTTTTTACCGCGGCTTGACTCTCAAAGGCAATACTTACTGGTTTGCCGAAAACAAGGTTGCACCAGGCAAAATAGGAAGAGTTTTTTTACTCTGTTTCAACTTTACAACAGAGAGTTTTGGACCGCGTCTGCGTCTGCAATCTTATTATGATAAAACTTCTTTAATCATATAATTAAAGTTATTAAACTATATACAAAGGTTAAATTAATCATAACGGCTCTCGTTGTCTTGTCTCAGGCTGGTTCGAGAGAGAGAGAGAGAGACAGAGGATTAATATGGTACCAATTCATTTTTTTTTTTAATTCAGACTCCGTGATATATTTTTATAATTATCTATCTATATAATTCATAAAGATAAAAAATGGCCCACAGGCCCAATAAGAAATTAAGTCGGCGGCGGTTAAAGCTCACCCTTCAAAATTTGCAGCGCGCTTCTTCAGAAACGCTCTCGTCATCGTAACAAACCCTACCTTCGTCCTTCCATCGTTGCTTCCATCATCGCTCTTGATCGAACGTTTGCTTGTTTCAGATCGAAGATCTCGCCCCCTCTCCGATTCTTTTTCGCAGGTGAGCAAAGCTCTATCTCTCTATACGTTAACCTTCTTATGATTCTCGATGCAGTATTGTTTAATCTCTCTTACTTGGATTTGTTCTCTTCACTGTGATTATCGGGATTCACTAGTTTAAGATCTGATTGTTTTTGATCTGTTAGTTTAGCGTGATTCTGATAAAATCTTGTAGAGGATCGTCTTAACTTTACCTTCGTTTAGGTCATCTTTGTTTCTCTCACTGCTCGATTTGTGATTAGGTTTAGGCTTGAATTGCTTGAAATTTTTGATTAGGTTTTGATTAGGTTATGTGATTGTGTGCAATGAAAGCGTTTGCTTTGTTTACTTAGAATTCAAGATCTGATTGTTCTTGGATCTTGTAGAGGATCGTCTTAACTTTAGTCATCTTTGTTTCTCTCACTGCTCGGTTTGCGAGTAGGTTTAGGCTTGAATTGCTTGAAATTTTTGATTAGGTTATGTGATTGTGTGCAATGAAAGCGTTTGCTTTGTTTACTTTGTTTCAGGTCGCAGATACACCTAAAAT